TAGACTTAAAACATATTGTGAAAATTTAGATATTTCTAATAATATAGTAATTGCTATTAAAGCAGGATTAAAGAAACTTAAGTTATATTATAAAAAATCTGATGAAACTACTATGTATACAATTACTACTGATAAGAAGTTAAATTTTTACAAACTGAATAATAATATAAATAATTTTATAGTGCTTAATTTACGATTTAAGTTGGATTACTATAAAGACAATAAGTGGAAACAAAATTTTATTCAATATATAAAAGAAACAGTTCTTAATATTTATAATACTAATTATGCATCTGGTAATACTAATGTATAAGTTACTAATAATAATATTAATGATGAATTCTTAGATCACATTTTTGGTAAAAAGAACAATCATTAACAAAATGAAGTAGAAATGTATTTAAAACATTCTTGAGCAGATCGAAATCAAGATGTTTTATTGCGATAAAAGGTATATATTTAAAAATAATTAATATATTTTATTTGATTTAATTTTACTAATTCATTAATATACATATATAGTTAAATAAAGTAGAGTATTCACACTTAGCAGCAATGACAATAGATTATCTTGCAATTGTAGGTAAAAAAATTTATTCATTTAACATTACTAATTATTAGTTAATAAATGATTTTAATTTAGTTACAAGTGTTTCAGTAGAATGGATCTTTTCTGGCAGAACTGATTTGGTAATAACAAAAAAATGCAATCTCAAAAAAAATACAATTTGCACCTGTATGTATTTGAAGTCATAGTGAGAGTAAAGAGAATTTAATTAGAATATATTTTATAATTTTATCATAAAAATTTAAATAAATCTTAATTAGAAACTTTTTTTGTAAAAGTTGTGTGATATACATATACTATTGTCTTACTAATCATAAATAAATTTGTTAAAAATTTTATTTGATCTGAGTTATCTGGATCAAACTATAATAGGTCATATTAGAGTCAGGTTTTATAAATATTAATCCAGGTATTTGTATGAATTAGTTTTTATAAATGGGTTAAGTCTGAGTATATCCTCAAACCTGATCTGATTCAACTCTTTCAGAACACTATATATAATCATATAATATAAATATTAATATAATTATATATATTTTAATAATTTTTATTAAATATTTAGAAATATAATACTTTTTTATCTTAAAATTATATTTATATTTATTTATATTATTATCATTTTATTTTACAAAATTTTTTTACATATATTTTTATTATAAATATTACTATAATTTAATTTCTTATTAAGATTTAAGTTATTTATTAACTAGTTTATACTTACTCTGATAATTTGGTGAATTTTTAATATTATTTATATTATAAATATACTATTATTAAATTTGAATTAAGTATCTTAAAGTTTAAGTTGAAAATATTATGATAATTGATTCTACTTATTAGAATTTATAATTTTAGAATATTCTTTAAGTTCTATAAATATCTATTATACTTAAATTAACTTAACAATTTATTACATCTTAAAACTTAATATTTAATTAACTAAACTCAATAATAAATTAGAAAATATATTAATATTAAGATATTATAATCAAATTCTAGATAAAGAACAATATTAAAAAAAAAATGTAATTTTATAGGTTTAATTTGATTTTTTTTAAAACTTATAATAAAATTCAAAATTTATATAAAAGTTCTAAATATTTGCAAAAGAGTTAATTTACAATTTTAGTAAAAAATGATATATTTTATATAAAATTATTTTACTGTAACTAATATTTGCTAAATTATAAAATAATGAAAATTTATAAGTAAATATAATAAAAATATAAAAAGAAAATAAGAAATTTAAATAAAAATAAAAATTAAAAATAAAAAATTAATAAAGAAAATTAAAATTTATAATTAAAAAAATGTTAATAAAATCTAAAAATAGATATAACATAATAATAAAAATAATAATAAAATAATAATCTATATATTTAAAAAGTTAAGGTCATGTAATATCATATTTGGATTATCTTACATAAATTAATTATAGGGTTATAAAATATTACACAAATCCAAAAAGGCAATTTCATCTCCCAGTGAAATTCAAATTCAAGTCTCAAAATTGGTTATATAAGTATTCCTTTTCAGATATTTATATAATATCACATGATCTATAAAAAATTATATAAGTGAGACAATTGTATTTAAAATTATTAATTATTGATATGCAATATCAATATTTGAAATGTAATCAACTATTAACGTAAACAACAGATGTTTACTAGTATAATATTAAAAAATAAATGTAAATTAATAATATATAGTAATAACTATTAGTAAAAAAAAATAGAAATTATAAATTATTAATAATAAAAATAAAAATTAGAAAATAATAATAAAAAGAATAAGAATTAAAATTATTAGAAAAAAAGAATTAAAAATTAAAAATAATAAAAAAAAAGAATAAGAAATAGAAAAATGATCTATAAATTAATTAATATTAAATTATAATAAAGAATAGAAATTATGTTTAATTTAATATTTAGAAAGGAATAATAAGTTTGCATTAATTCCTAGTATATTTATTAGATTATAATTTTTTATTTCTAAAAATTATATTTAAACATAAATCATTTTATTATTAATATATAAACATAATAATATCAGTATTAACAGACTTATTTATTATATTAATATATTAATATATGAGATAATAAAAATCTATTTATTATATTAACATTTATTATTATTATTGATATTATGAAAGTTTACTTAATAATAAATTAAAGAATAATATTGAATGAGATGAAAAAAAAGGAATAATAAAAAAAAATAGTATAGTTATTAATATAATTTATTTAAAATTAATAAATATATGTAAAGGAAATAATTATATTAATAAAATAAATAAAATAAAACAAAAAATTTAAAATAAATTTAAAAGAAAAATGATAGAGAAAATGAAATATTAAAATTATAGAATAATAAAAGATATTACATTAGAATAAAGAAAAAAAATAATAATATTTGTATGAAAAGAAGAATATTTGAAATAATTATTATATAATAAGGAATATAATGAGAAAAAGAGAAAGATTAAAAAGAATAACAGATATAATAAAGTTAAATAATAGAAATTTAATAAAGAAGAATAATAAAAACTTAAAAAAAATAATAAAGAAAATTATGATGTTAATATAGAATTGAAATAATAATAAAGATAAATAATATAATAAATACATAAATTTTTGAACAAAAAAAATTAATTTATAAAACAAAACTTTTTAATAATAAATGTATCTTTTATTGAATTTATTGAACTTATAAAATATTATATATTTGTAAAATTTGAATTTAATGATTATAATATGTATAAATACACTATTTTTAGATTTATAAATTAATATACTATTTGTAATTTATTTTTTTTGAACTTTTATTATATTATTGAATCTAATGATTTTTTTTTTAATTTATATTTTCTAGTATATTTACAAAAAAAAATTTATTTTGTAATATATTTAACAAATAAATCAGAAAAATAATAATCTTTATAATATTTAACTTGATAATGGTTAATAATAAATTTATTTTATTTTTATATTTTTTGATATAAAATTTAAAAATTATTTATAAAGAAAAATCAATAGCTAATTTTACTGATTAAGATAATAAAAATATTTAGTAAATTCAAGTTTTTTTAATTCTGAATTTAAATTAAAATTTATAAAATGAATAACTTTATTTTTAAAAGTTTTTTAATTTAATTTTTGAAGTTTAAAAGTATTATTTAATTAGTTATTATTTTAGTTTGTAAATTTAATTTATCATTAACTTTAATTATTTTCTTTATCTTCATTTCATTCAAAGTAAAATTATTATCTATAAAATAAAATTCAGTTATTCTAATTGTCTTAAAAAATAATAAATGAAAAATTCTATTGTAAAAACAGCTTAAATCCATTTTTAACTTGTATAAAAAAAAGAAAAAGAATATAAAAAGATAATTAATATTTAAAATATATATATAATATAATATTGAGATTACATGATAAATAGGTATGCAATATATAATTATCTTTTTACTATTTTTATATTATTTATTTATTATAAAAATCTTATTATAAGTTTTCTTAAATTTTAAATTTTAAATTACACTCATTATTATAACATATATTTATAATAAGGAATGATTGGCAACAGATCATTATATATGACAAGTGATGCTTTATCGGAGATTGAATAAACCTCGGCTTCTTGGTAAAATAGCTAATTTGCGCTACGATTGGCACTTATAATTGAGATTAGTTGGGGTTAGGGTGGTTTGTCACTGGCGTGAAACTGGTGATGTTTCAAATATTTGAGGGACTTGATTTTTTTCGGTGGATTAGGTTTATTCGTCACGCCATGTATGCGTAATCAATTATTACCAGCCAATCGTAAATAAGTAGATTCAAACAGTATGGTTTTGATACACAAAAATGAGTTTCCAAAAAGATCCCATTTAACACATCCAATTCAAATGGTTTACTCGTTATGCTATTACGCATTGGTACAGCCTCCCAAGCCGGGACACCATTTTTGTCAAAACTTGTTTATATGGTATTTACTATATAATTAAAAATATTTAACTTTATGATATTTACACTGTAAAGAGATTTTTTAGATCACAATTTGTAGTTTATTATTATTATTATTATTACATCGTTATCCGTGTTCGCTATACGTTTGGTCGAGTTTTGTGTGATTTGTATGTAATTTTTTGCAAATTTGAAAATTTTATTCTTTCGGAAAATCTGTTGACTTGAAAGTTATAATCAAATTATCTTTCGGTCAAATATACTTTTTTTCAAATATAAATTCATTTTCACGTTCACACCATATTATTAATCAGTGTCATTTTAAATTGGTTAGTTTAGACATGAGAATGATTACAAAAATATCATTATTATTTTATTTTGGAGATCGACATTGTATCACCAAAAAAGTTATATAAAGAGCTCCTTTTTTTTTGGAATCTTTTTTTTTTCATGAACAATTTATAATGTGCAGGTTTTTACTTTACAAAGGAAAAACTTCGATTCAATTATCGCACGTAAGACCTTTTAATATCAAACTCAAAATATTAATTTATTTGTCGTTATTCTAAACGATTATTTCTCTAATAGCTACTTACACGACCAGCTCATTCGATTATAAATCAATCATTTGATTGTAGACTACGATTGGATACAAGGCGCACAATTAACGGTATAGCTATCTAATTTCTAATATTTTTATTTTATTGATTTTTTATTTAATTTATTTTTATCCTCAAAATAGGTGACGGTTTCGGCGTAGGTACAATATAAATATCAATTTGATTCCTTCATTTTTATTTTACTAGAGTATTAACTTAAAAATTTTTTTAGGATGGTATGAGAATTCAGATCCCAAGATACCAAATGATGATACACCGTGTATATTTACATCTGTAACACCAGCATGGAATAATCAAAATTTATCGAGACTTGCGGAGAAAATTAAGAGCCCGTTGGTTTTTGCTCATGTAAGGGCTTCGACTTCTGGTGCTTTGTCTGAAACTAATTGTAGGTTTTTAAAGATAAAAACTGATTAATCTTCAAGTGAATTTTTTTTTTTAAAAAATATATACACATATATATATATTCCTTTCTTGTATTAATAGGTCATCCATGGCAATATAATAGATTAATGTGGATGCATAATGGGAATATAGCAGACTTTCACAAGGTTACATTAAATTTTTTTTTTTTTTACTTTAAATTAAAGTCTTGTTAACATCAAGAATTTAAAAGATTTTACATTTATATTAGATTAAAAGAGTTTTACAGCAATCATTAAGAGAAGAAATATTCTTATTTGTACAAGGAAACACGGATTCTGAATGGGCTTTTGCATTATTCCTAAATAATGTACGATATAATTTTATATATATAAAGTTTCATCAAATTTAATAACGAAACTTTGAAAATTGACCCTAATTTTTATTTAGTTGAACGATCCAGAGAATGGAACATTTGATCATGAAACGCTAAAAGTTGCAATGTTAAAGACCATTGAACAATTAAATACATGGGCTGAAGAAGCCGGGATAACCGAGGTAGCTGAAATATAATATTATAATATCATGGAATTTAATAAAGTTGTTAATTCGTGTTTATTTTATTTTATTTTTTGAAGCCATCATTATTAAATTTTGCAGTAACAGATGGATGTTCCGTTGTGTGTACTAGATATATTAATAACAGGACTGAAGAGGCAGCTTCTTTATATTTTTCTTCAGGTAGAATATAAAAGTATTCTATATTTCGGATTTAATTTAATGATAACTTACCATTACATGATTGTTACTAATATAGGAACTAGTTTTATGGAATATAAACCTGGACATTATAGAATGGTATGTTTGTATTTTCAGACAAATTTGGTAATGTTAGAATGAATAACAAATGATTTTAATTTTATTCATGTACTGTAGATCAAAGCAGATAAACGTGAAGATATTGTATTAGTTGCTTCAGGTATTTCCAAATTTACTCTTTTGTCTTTTTTTTTCTTTGATTATTTGAAAATATTTTAATTGAATCACATATAAATTGTTTCGTGAAAATAGAACCACTCACATTTGAAAAAGCAGATTGGTTAACGATACCAACAAATACATGTTTAGTAATAACGCCAAAATTGAATGTATTATTATTTCCTATAAAAGATCAATTTTACAATCCCGAACGAACGAAAAAAAGGACATTTCCCACTACAACTGCAATATAATAATATGTCTTGTTCTTTTGCATGTACCTTTTGAAAATAACTTTACAATAATTTCATTTTCCAATTTGTATAATTTATAAGTAATAAATTTAATTAACAAATACAACGTTATTAATTAAAATCATATTTAACCGATTTTTTTTTTTTCCTTCCTTTTAACATTTAATGTACGTATTATTAATAAAAATAATTAATAAAGATCATTGTTGAATCAATTACTCATATTTCTTTAACAATTTATTAACTATATGTAACGTTAATCGAAAGTTTAAAAAATTCAAATAATTTACAATGTTTTTGCAGGATACAGATACTATTAGGCATATGCGGTGATCTACAAAAAATAAAATTCATATTATTTTTAAACAAAAAAAATTATTTCTTGAAATTTACAAATTTTTTTTTTGCAATTATCATTAATATATTAATCTTAATAAAATTTTAATTATGGTTCGTAATAAATAAAAAGAATTGAATTAAAATGTCTATTATGACCGTATTATCGTGATCGTTCTTTCCTGGCCGTAGTATCAGTATTCATAGGTTCTCTAAACTTGTTCAGTTTTAACATCGTTCTTGCCTTTGTCATCATTCTTTGTTTTATCATCGATAATTTCTTTGTTATCCCAACTTTTGTTGACTTTATCATCCTTGCCCACGTTATCCAAACCCTCGTTATCCTTGAATTTATCCCAATCCTTTATATCCCAATCCTTGTTACCAAAAACCTTGTTACTCCAACCTTCCGCTTGCTTGTAATAAGCATCTTTCTTACTGCCGTAGGTTTCAATATAGTAATTTGGATCGTATTTTTCTTTAGGATCCTTGACATTTTTTTCAACACGTTTATGAAATACTTGAAAGATTTCAAAGAATAATATTTAGGTTAGATAAGTTCAAGATCAAAAAAAAAACAAAAAAGAGATCATTTTTAATAAACCTGGATTCGCGTTTACTGCAGTCAAGATGCTGATAACCGACAAAATTGTAAAAAACTTCATTTTTTTTTTACTGTTATCACTACAAGGATGTTTATTACTAGTATTTTTATTTTGGTTTATTCAAAAAGAGGTGAGGAATTCATTGTGTTTATATACTTGTTCATTCGTTAGTAATCATTTTACGATGTTCATAGTTAAAAAATGAAAAAAAAAAATATTGAATAAGTTCTTTATGAAAGGCAACGATTCATCGATAAAAACCATTCATAGTAAATCTGGATTCTTATCTTCTCGGATTTGTATGGCAAAATCTAATTCCAAGCGGTTTGATAGAAACTATTTTAAGTTTAAGAAAATGTTCGTTAATAGTTCATGATAGTATGATATCAAATATTAAGACCCTTAATTATTAATATTAGAGCTTGATAACTAAACCAATTATTAACTAAAATTTCCGTAAATTGACAAATTTCGTAAGCATTATAATTATTATTCTTATTTTTATTTGATTCTTTTTTTTTTTCCTTTCGAGATATTAAATTGCTTAATTTTACCCTGTTGATAAAGGATCGAACTTAACTTTTTTCATTTAAAAATCGACCGATTTGATGCTTTATTTTAAGGTTTGACCCTTATTTTTAGAGCTACTATGAAATAATATATATTCTTGACGAAAAAAACGACCAAAAAGAATATTTTGGAGAATTTTTATTGATATATAATCTTTTATATATTGGGCTTCTATATATAAACAAAATACTTGTTTATATTATCAAAAATAGTATCATATAAAAGGAAGCTTTCTAAACAACACTTGTGGTGGTTTCAGTTGATTTTTTTTTTTTTAAAAAAAAAAAATCATCATTTAAGTTTTATCACAAGTCCGAAAACTAAAATTTTTTACAATTTTTTTTTTTTTTTAAAAAAAAAAATAAATAAATAAAATAATCTCCAAAGAAGCAAATAATCTTTTTTTCCTTTTTTTACAAGAATGTTCAAATGGTTGATTATTATTGTATTTCTGTAATTGTTTCTTCAGTGCAATGGATAGCAATAGGATACCTTGAAATGTTTTCATAACTTGGAATTTGATCTCTATTATCACTGGTACTAATAACCAAGTTATTACTTGTATACAAACTACTTTCCCTATTATTGCTATTATTAACATAAGTATTACTTGTATTATTTGTTTCATTGGTATTAAAACAAACGATCTCACCATTTGAAAGGCATCCAGTAATCGTCGCTTTAGCATAAAATTTGAGCTTGCTATGAGGAGAGAAAAAACAAAACGGTTGCATTATTATCGTCATTGTTTATTTTTTTTTGCTTCAAAAATAGATCATGCATGCACAAAAATAATAATACATACTTGTATACTAGTATGGCGTTGCATATCAAAACAAACATCGGATTTAGAATGTACCAAGCAGCAAAGATACTAATAGATGAAAAATTTTCGAATATCGCCACCGTTCGGTATGTAATGGCTACGGCGATGTTGGAGGTGATGGTCATGAGACAACAGATGGTCATAATGACGACCGGCACGTTGACGTTTCTTGAAGCTTTCCTCATGTTAATGATTTGTTGACTTTCCGCGTCCCCGACGATCTTTTGCAACTCGAGACTTTTAATGTGTCGATGAATGATCCTGCGTAATTTCAACCATGTGAAAACCAAGTAACATGTAAATATGAACGTCCATGCGACCCAAAAGAACGAATTTAAAGCGAAATATTTATCCGCTTTCTCTATATCCATATTTTCTCCCGCAATACCAGTTAATACAGCGAAGGTGTTGAAACATATGAACGAGTAACCAATCATTCCAAATCCTAAAATGTCGAGCAAACGTGGATTTGTCAGTTCGCTTTTATATTTCATGTGTATTGAGGTCGGTGTGGAATAAACTAAAATTTTTTACGTTGAAATCCACATTAGTAAATAGATTGTTTAAAGAAATAAAAATAAAAATAAAAAAAAAGGGGTGATACCCACCAACGCTTATAGGGTATAGCATGCCGATTGCAGATGCGAACGTGTGCATCGCGGCAAATCCGACTAGCGAATTAAGGGAATTAAAATTCTATTAGTTTACTTTATTTCATTTGCAATTTAAAAGAGATGTACGATAACTTACTTTCCGCAATTATCAGGTTTCTATAAGAATCGGTAACCAGCATAATCAGATGAATGGTTTCAACTAAAGGTGCAGATGCAAGGGAGTTAATTGTTAGTGTATGCGCCAAATCACGTGCTTTCCGGTTCGCGGTGTTTACTTACAGAGGATATAAGCTACGCAGTACAAATGAAATATTTGAAAGGGTCGAAATCTCAAGATTCCTCTATCGCGAGTCGCCGGAAGGGAGAATGACTGGTTTCTAACTTTGATATAATAGTAAAGCATGCCGCAAGATAATGCCAAGGAAAACAAACAAAGTGGAATTAGAACTAAAGCCGCTTTTTTTAATAAGCTTTCGAAGGGACAGCCATAGAAATTCACTCGGAAATCACAAGCACATTTTTGTATTCCATCTATCTCTGTACAAACTACTGTGAAATTATTTACTAAGTTTCCCATATTTTATTTCGTTATGTGTATGAAAGGGAGGGAAAGATCTAACTTAGGATGAGGAGATGAATAAATGAGAAAAAAAAAAAAAAAGGAATGAAAAAAGGTTGGTGTGAAAGGGATGGATCGTTAAAGGGTTGGGTGAGCTATATATATATTTTCATTGAGGAAAAAAAAAAAAGATTTTCGAATAACATTAATTAAAATTGGCTTTAGCGTTAGTCCAATAATAATTCGAGCTTTACGAGCGATATAAGATGATGTGATGGTGACCTTCAAATATATATGTATCCAAATTGAAAATCCGGAAACGTTCCAAATTTGAAAGGCGCGGAATGAAAATTTTTATTGGATCCGGCATCCGCGTGCAAAAATATTTTTTTATACAAAATGTGTGAAACTTTTCATGATTGATCATCATCAAACAGTGCTGAATAATTAATTAATTTACTTTTCATATTGGTCAACCATATATTAATTCTTGTCGGACCTTTCTAAATCAAAGTTCGAAAATTTGTCAGAGATGAGAACAATGTGTTTTGTTATTTAATAAGTAAATTACTTCCCGTATTCTCCTGTTGACTTATTTACAAAATAAAACATCGTTACTATCGTTTCATATAATAAATAAGATCTTAAAACTTTGAGTTTTTAATTTGGCCATGAACATTTCATTAATCATACAATAAAATTTTTTTCAAAAAACGTCTCTGAGAATACTGAGAATAAATAAATAAATATTCAAATGCTGCACCCGAATCGAACAAAATAATTTGGGTAAGAAATTTGTATGGTGTAATGTGATGTCATGGCGAATACTTAATCGGTCCATGACTCACCGGTTTAGATATGCGAAGGGCCAAGACCCTAGTCGGTCCATGACCATTTAGTTTCACCGATATTTCCAGATCGACACTGAACGGTAATACGATACGATTTATAATCTTTTAACTTGGCAAATGGCATTATTATTTAAACTTGGCATGTATCATTATTCATTTTGCTTTATAATTAATTTTTCATTTGCAACTTTGATTGCTTTGTTTCTATAATTCGTCAAATCGAGATATCAATCGGTAAATGTTCGTGTATATAGTACGGTTCATCACCTTGTCAAGTGTCCGTTGTCGGGAAACATTAGAAATGACGTGTCGGTAAATTTCATGTTGAGGAAATGGAATGTTTCAATCAATTGCCGTTATGGAATGGTCTTACCGCGATTTCTATTTTATTGTTATTTTAGCCTTGGATTTAATAGTGTGTCAAATTATGTTGACCAACGCTAATCAAAACAAAAAAAAAAAATAAATAAATAAATAAATAAAACAAAAATTAAATAAATATAAAATTGAGATGCCATTAAAAAAAAAAAAAACTTTCTTAGTCGTTCTGAGCTCCCTGCTCTTTCGCTCAAATTTATCAAATGATTCGTTTCTATTAAAATTAAATAACCGAACTTTAAATCCGATCCTTACCGTCTTTTAATTAATAAATTTAAAAATTTTTAACATCAGATTCATTATTTAAATTTTAGTTTATTCTTTTTGCACCAGTAAATTCTTAATAATCACCGACGACAATATTAGATAAACTAAAAGCGGAACGAATTAGGTTTTTGTCCCCTAATAGATTTATACTCCTCAGATTTTCTCGTCAATCTTTTCTTTTTTTTTCTTTTCTTTTTTTTTTTTTTTTTTTTTTTTTTTTTTTTTTTACAAATACTATATATGCACACGCAAAGGATGATTTAATAAATTAAAATCGGGTCCAATAAGAAAGTTAAATGAATTTTAGTTTAATATTTTGCATCAATAAGGAACCAATAGATAGGTTTAAAATTCTCCCCCAAAAGTTATTCTGCTCCTAGATTTTTCTTATATTATTTATCTCATCTATAAGTTATTACAGTAACGTATTTTTTTTTGATTCAGATGGAAAAATTACAAATTTTTTAATATCATTTTATAATTCACATAAACGTGCATTCAATTAGTATATAGTTTATACGATATGATTTTTTATACCTATTCACTATACTATTTACTTGATGCAAACTTTGCTATGCTAGAAAAATATTTAGGAAAATCTTGACAAAATAGTTCATATATAAAATATTAGCGTTATATCAATCGGTACAGTATATCTAATATCGGTATACCTGCATATGTTACATTTTATAATTTTACTATCAACTAGGAAATGGAAACCATTGTAAGTCTGGAGCAAATAAAAAATTTTCATTGTGACACAGGGTGATAAGTAACATCGGACCGGTAATATACATTAATTTTGGTGATTACACAGAGATCAATTAATGAAAAGTTATTAAATGCAATATAAACACTAACAAGGTTGAGGGTAATTTCTAGCTATATGTCCTATTTAGAAAAATAAAAATAAAAAAATATTTTATTATCATTAAATATTTTTAATAAAATTGTTATAATAAAATATAACTAGAAAGAAAAAAATAAGAACAATTAATATCTATGATATCTAGAAATTGAACTTTAGTTACTTTAGTTCTAAAGCATCCATCTAGTAATACAAATAAAACTCTCATTATATATCATATTAAAATCATAGTTCCTTTCTTCTTATTTACTCAGTTATATTATAAATTGTTCATAATTATCAAAAACTTTTTTCTCAAAACCATCAAATTAGCTTGAAAACTATGTATGCTAAGTCAACAAGATAAATACACAGTACAAAATTATCTATCTTAATATGATAACATTATCATAATGCATGCAGTCAATCAGAAAATTCACAAAAATATAATTTTGTTATTATGTGTCATGTGAGCAGACAACCAGAAAAATTCACATAATCATATTACTCTATCACATATCTTAAAAATATAATGTTTTTCACTTTGCTCTAAACAAATTATACCTTTATTTGTATAGTATTATTATCTAATATTTTAAATAGTATTAACATTTTTAAGTTTGTAAATTTTAATATAACTTGTATCTTCTTAATATATTTGTATTATTTATTATCTAAATAATTTTATAATTACAAATTTTTTATATGAAACATTATACTTTTATTCAAACTATTGTCCTTTTGTTTTGATTTAGTATTATAAAGATCAGATAATTTTAACTTAAATTAGAATTAAAGATGATGCTTTAACTAGTTACAACTATATGATATTTATTTATTACCAGTTGTAACTAGTTTATAAATGAAAAATAAAACCTTTTAATAATAATCTAAATTTAGACAAAGCTATATTAAAATTATAATAAGGTATATAATTAAATCCTTTTGATACAATGAAAGCTGAAACTGTTAAAACTATATTTAAAAATATAAAAAAAGGTATGATAAAATTATTTGAGAAGATTTTGACAAATATTTATAAACTAGTTACAATTTAATTTTTGTTAATTTTGCAATTAATTATATACTGTAATATTTATTTGTTACCAGTTGCAATTAGTTATAATATTAATTTTAGTTAGAATAAGAATTATGAGTTAAAGATTAGTGATTAGTGATTAAATTAGGATTTAAAAATTAGGATTAGGGATTAAAGATTAAGATAAGAATTAAAATTTGAAATTGATTTAAAAGATTCTAGAGTTAGATCAAAATTAATTTAAAGGATTCTAAGATTAAGGATCATTTTAGAAATAGTTATACATATCAAAATTATCTTATAGATAGATATAATATAAGAAGTTATATTTTTTTATATAAAAAATATAAAGAAAATGGACTTACTTATCTATATTATCTAAATAATAAAAATATTCTTACTTAGTATAGTCTCTATCAAAAATAATAGCATTAGAGATATTATTTCAATTTGATTCATTATTTATTAAATAAATTAGATAATAGAATATTTATATAAAAATAAATAATAAAAAAAACAAATTAAAATATTATCAACATTTATTAAAATAAATCATGAAATTATAAAGCTCTTTTAAAATAAGAATATATATAATATAAGGAAAATTTTAACTGAACTGAAATTTTTTTATATTATTATAAAATATATATTATTTATTTATGAAAAAATAACAATATTTCTAAAATTTATCAATTTA